AAATCTGAAATTAACTTCAGATTTTTGTAAACCTCTCCCCTCTCTCACCCATGCCGCCGGCCACCAAAAGGGGAATCCCTTTTAATGCATTTAATGCAATCATTACACCCGTTTCAAAATCCAAATTCAAAGTATTCTCCCTCCAAATTTAATTAAATCTGAAATTAAATTCAGATTTTGATTAAAACTTCCCCACACCTCCTCATCACCTAATCTCCTAACCCTAGCCGCCTCCTTCCCTCCTCTTGGCCGAGACTCCCCCTTTCCTTGGAGATCCCGCCGTCTACCCCTCCTCTCCTTGAAGAAATCTCCACGCCAAGCATGTATGGCGGATCCGGAGCTTGAGTGGGGTATAGTTTTCCAAGCCGACGGAAGCGTCGACATCCTACGGTCACCTTGCTTCGACGTAGGGTTTGAAGACGAAACTACCGTGGAGGAGTACGTGGATAGAGTCGTGCCAATCCTTGCAAGCATCTACGACCGAAGACTTTCGAAGCACACTTGGAGCCTCAACGGTCGTCTACGACTTCCATCCCAACCGGCAACTTTTCCTTCGACGAAGTTCTTTGGCGCCCTCTCCCTAGTGGTAACTTCTTTCATCTCTTGGATCTTCTATCTCCGCCAAAAGTCCACTACCTCTTGAGTGATACGGCCCCAAGGTGAACTTCTCATTGCTAAACGTTGGGTTTTGTTGTTGTACTTTGCATATTAAATTCGCCTAGAACTTTGAAAGAATCGTTTTGGTTAATCTAGTTTGCAACTCTTTCGCCTAAGCAAAGTTAACGTTTCGACATCTTAACTCAATCTTGCATGATCCCATAAAATTATAAAAGCAAACTTTAACAATTCTCTTTTTAATTTTGAACGTAACTCCTAGTAGTTTTACATCAGTAATCGTGGCAGGTGGCAAGTTGTTGCAATTAAATTAATAACTGAGCATTCAGATTTCACTTGGGTATAACTATTACTGTTAACAAAGTTTTGTAGGGCAATGACGGTCTATTCTGATGAGGTAGGTGACTCAATATTTATGACAAAGAAAACTTTGGTTCTTTTTTAGAGCTTATAAATAGACAATCCCTGCTGAAAGGGCGAGGATTGGTTTAGAAACTTAGAAATCTTCTAAGCAAACTATGTGCTAAAAACTTGCCTGAGTAAGTTCCCAAAATGATTCTCTCATAATTTACTTGGGTTGCTTGAAGCTTTCCTAAACTTACTCTTTCTCCCGCTTTTGCATTTTCTCTCTGTATTCTTTGTCTCCATCCCTGTGCTCTTGCTCGGAAGCCAACAACTCCCCTCTCTTTCTCTATCAACAATATTTGGCCTTCATTTGGATTTGGGTCTTGAGTAAGCTCATGATTGTGGTTCTTCGAGGTAAATTTGATTGCAGCAATATAGAAATGTAAATGGATCAATTTGATTGATGGTCTTTGAGCGCCAAAATTATAGAAGTAATTGGCTTTATTGTATGTTCCAATGCTTAATGGAACGTGATTCTTGCATGGTGTTGTTTTTGCATAATCACAATGTACCAAATTACTTATTGCATGGCATGGAACACGATGGACGGTCCTATACTACCTGGATGTTCAGGGTTTTATTGCACGTGAAATTCAGCAAGGTTGCATGGGTTACCTGAGAGATTTTGGGTCTTTCAATTCATAGTTTATAATTTTCAGTTTTTCAGGGAAGCTATTTTTTTCCCCAGATGCTGCTTGTTTTAGAGCAAAAGATTAATTAAAAAAAAGAAAAAAAGACCACTGAAATTTCGGCGGAATCAACATCTGCCTTTCATATTTCTATTGCTTCTTTGGGGCTGGCTAGCAGGATGAACAATAATTTGTTCCATAGACTGGAACATTTAATGATTATGATATTGGCAAGGTGTTTTTACACTTTATCAGGTCTCCTAAAATCCCGGAAATTTTCCAACAGGTGAGTTTTCTAAATTGAGATTATGTGTTTTTTTTTTTGGAAATTATAAAGCATGTTTTTATACAGGACGAGTAGTTGTTTCATTCATTGTCAATAATGACAATTCCTCCTATATACTTTGTGTTTGAGATAGAAAGCTGGATTTATTTTTTCTCAAACTTCAAGATTATCCTAACTTTAACAATGAATATTTTTGTTTCAGAGTTGGTTTATTCGTTGCATTTGAGTCATTTGTTCTTTTGGATCTTCATTGTCTCTACCTGACAAAGGACATTTTCTTAAAACATTGTAAATATTCATTTCAGGGATGTTATTGAAAGGCTTTTGCCATTAGGCTTTTACTATAGGGAGCTTGATCACTTTGCTGCTAAGCATCGTCATTTGAGTTCGTTTCAGCTTGCAAAGCATTACCCTCATGCTCAAGCTACCGAAGTACAGAAAGAAAGCTCTGGGAAAGCAAGTGTTTACCGCAGGGCCATTGCAAATGGGATAATTGAGATTTTATCAGTTTATAGGTCAGCTGTTCTACAAGTTGAGCAGAATTTGTTGTCAGATCCATTGCCTATTTTGGCTACCGTGACTCATGGCCTCAATAAGGTTAGTTGACGCAATGATTCAAGCGACCAATAAATTCAAGTTTGAATCAATTTCTACTAACAATGATTACCTGAATCTTGATATTGTAGATATGCTTGCTTATCATTCTATTGAGATTTTATTACTCTCAAATGTTTCTCTGGGGCATTTTGAATATAATATCTGCTATGCAGAATTGCAGATAGAATATTGCATGATAAAAAATAAAAAAAAATCTGCAACCAAGGTACTTATTACAAATTTCACCTAAGCAACATTGTAGTTTCAGTGGGAAACATTTCACTGCACTTCCTTTTGTGTACTGTACCTATTCCTAAACTATGATCAGAACAAATATTTTCTAAACCTATATGTGGTCCCTTATTATGATATGAAAAGCTAATCATTGGTCAGTCCATTCATGTTCATCTTTGACTATTCAACTCTATAGCCCCTTTGAACATCTATTTAGTTGATGTATCCCGTCCATACTTTCTTCTCATTCACACGGTCTCATTGGACTGATCTATTCAGAAGATGAATGGGCAACTACCAAGATAATGAACTTTGAGGATTTTTTTTTTTCATTGAACATATGCGGGACTTCTAGGATTCTTCATGTAAAATACTTTGCGAGGAACATACATAATTAGGTTTTATGTTGCCGATATTAGCAACTTACTATGCCGCTGATGGGAAACACTTGTAGATCTCGAGTATTTCTTATCAATCTTCGGAAAACAGCAAGAAGTCTTCACAAAGTCCACACAAAATCATGAAAGAGTAGATCATTTGAATTATTTGATGAAAGGAAAACAAAAAATAGCAAGATACAATTGATCCTCTATTCGAGAGGAGGATCGATCTCTCCCAAATCTCTAGACGCCGCTAGAGCCCAAAGAAAAATCTAAATCTAGGAGATATCAAATTTCAGCCAAATTCAAGATACCCAAACCCTAGGAAAACAAACTATTTAATGCATACAAATCAAAATGAAATCCCTAAACAATCCCTACATTCAAATTTTCCTCCCAATTTCCTCAAAAAACCTTCCTATTCGGCTCCCGCACGGCGTGCGGCTCGCGCGGCCTCCCAGCAGGCGGAACGGATCCGCTGTTTCACGTTTGGGCCGGTCCCACGTGGACCGGCTAGACCGTCCACTGGACCGGTCTAACAACTGCCTTATCTGTTCTTTTGAGGAGAGCCGCTTAATTGTTATGCTAATTCATTTACAATTTTCATGAAAGTTTTCTGATGTTTTTTCCACCTGTCTCCATATTATTTGCAAATATAAGTTATAACATCATAAGTATTTTTTTGATATGACATGCACGGAGTATCATGAATGATAAACAGGTCACCATTTCTTTCTTCAGTACCAATCAAGAATTATGGTCCCTTGCATTCGGGGAATGGTCATTCTGCATATCCTATTAAAGAAGTACATTCCCCTTAGCATTTTAGTGCTGTCGAGTTTCTGGTGCCAGCTGATTTTTAGGTCTTGGTTAATAAACTAGGACAAGGCAGATTATTCCTTATGGAGACATCATTAACATTCTATTGATGATCCTAAAGCTTTTTCTAGTTGAAAAACTCTAAATGTTTTTTCCAGATCAAAATTATATCCAAATGCCATGAGCAAGGGAAAGAAGAGGAATGACTGTAACAAGCAAGCAAGCAACAACATCAAACTTTTATCCCACTACGTAGGGTCGGCTAATAAAGAAGACTCATGAAATTTTTTTAAGCTGCCTTAAGTCAAGGAGAGTTAGACTCTTTACTGACAATGACAATATTATGATGTTTTACATGCTTATTGAAATCTATAGTTCGGTCCTCTGTCCACAAAACTATCATTTTCTTAACTCTGACATGCTCTGCACTGTCGTCTGCCCAAAACTTCTTGTGCCTCAAGCTAATTAAATCGTCTGCACTTTTCTAGGCCAAAAAGAGTTTTTTTTTTCTCTAGACTTACACTTTTAAATCATACTGAATAAGAGTAGTGGCAGATTTATTTCACCCCTTTCAATTTGAATATTCGAATCCATGTTTTCTGTACATATTTGCATGCATGCATATCTTTGAAGGAATGCAATCGTTCATTGAGCCAAGTTTAATTTTAGAGAGAGAGAGAGAGACCTAGGTGGCTGAACAAGGGACTTAGGAGAGAGAATTGTGAGGAATTAAGAAACACATCTATTTTTTCATGAAAAATCAATCGCTAAAGAATTTAATTTTAGAGTAAAAAAAATCTATGAAACCTTTTTTCAAATTTAATTCTAAAACTCATTTAATGCTTGATTTGTGGGCATCCCCTTAATTTGTGAATGAAAACTGGACAAATCACTTTCACTATTTTCTTGTGTTCTGTCCTCTGTTTGCTAACCACAATAATGTTTAATTATTTATTAACGTAATTTTGATAAAGTATATTAGATGTTTTGGCATGCCATGGATTGATAAAATAATAAAATAATTTAATTCTAATTCAAAGGCTTGGCCATGAAAAGAGACGAGAAAGAGAAGGTGGTTTGGCCTCTCCTGCAATTTTTGTACAGCTTGCTGGTTTGGCCTTTCCTGCAATTTTTGTACAGCTTGCTCTAGACGTATCTTAGCATGCTAAGTTTCCTAAGATGGTTTATCGTTGGTCTGCATAATTTTGATGTTTGTATAGGCTAATCTCGGTTAGATCAGCCTTTTATTTTTCCATGCTTGTTTTTTACCCATGGGACTTACCGAGCTAATTAACCAAGCATGCTATTGAGAGAACCTCCTAGATTTGTCTACTCATGGCCTTCCTCACATGCAGTTTTTTCTTTGCAAATGGAAGGAGGGAACTGTTTTGGACCAATTTGTCTAGTTTGGTTTGTGCTATTTTGGGTTGTAGGCGAACTTGATCCTTTGAGTCCTAGGGTTGATCGGTTCAAGCATTTATGGTCTCGGTCCAATCTTTCTGTTGACCTCCGTATAAGAAACCAAAGAGAGCGAGAAAGAGATCGGGAATACCTTGTATCCCGCCGAAAGCTCGCGCAAATACTGCAGAAATCCCGTTGAATCCAGGAATTCCGTCAAAACTACTGTAGACGCGGCGCCGTTCGCGTCTGTCTCCGCGATTCCTGCTCAAACTCCGCTCGAGGGGGGCTCATTCTCTTCGTTAAATACCGACCCAAAGCCCCCATTCTCTGCTGGCTCTCCCGACCTCTCTTCCCCGATCCCTCGGCTTCCACGACCTGTCGCTCTAGCCCACCATTTCATTCAAATCAAATCAAATTTGACTTTGATTCAGTCTTTTAGGCCACCTTAATATCTATGTTTTAGGTCACTTGTGCTGGATTTGATACAGATTTTTATGCACACTGATTGTATTATTTATTCCATGTGTTTATCTCATCAATGAAATACCTTGGTTTGTCCTAATCATATCATCATTATTAGCCTTACCCAAGTATTTTCCATTGGCGTTATAAATTCTAAATTTCATTTATTCCTTTTTAGTGCTATTTAAGGTGATAAATGTATTATTTTCAATAGAATTTCTATCACTGTAATATTAGGTTTAAATATTTTTTTTTCTTGTAATCGTCTAACACTAACTTTATTAATTTGTTTAATAGCACATTTTCTACCATTAATTGTATATGTTCAAAGCATCTATAAGTCTATTTTTAAACATCTTATCCTCAATAGATGTCAATCTAAAATTTTCTTTAATATAGACATTTCTTAATTTATTATTTTTGGCTTTTTCATATATTCATACATCACTGACCTAATCACCGTTTAATAAAATTTGCATATAAGTGATATAGAACGTACATGCAAGGATGATTAGATTAAGGAATTTGCACGCTTAATATGTAGAGCACAATAATTATATTTTTATAGTGATTTTGAACGAAAACATAAAACACAAAGAGCGGTAATATAAGTTTAGGCTAAATCACATATATAGGAGTTAAGACCGTAAAACAATCAATTAAGCTAACACTGTATACATGGAAAGTTTCAACAAGAAATCTCTAGACTAACAATGAGATTAGTCACTACAAGAAGATCCTTTACAAAACTCTCTAATTATTAGGTTTTAGCGGAGAAGCATTAACATGATCTTCATGAATATGATAAAACCACAATCAAAGATGCAACTATGAAGATAGCGAGTCGAGTGTCGAGTTTACCCAAAGACAAGACAGATACGCACTACGGCAGGTTGTTTGAAAGCTGGGAAAGAAGTGGACAGCAACCATGAGCCTTCTTGCACCAAGGAACAGTCGGGAAGAGGTGTAGAACTTCAGGACAGCCGCGGTGTTGATGTGGACAGATCCTGGACAGCACCCAATAAGGTGCAAAAGAGTTCCGACTAGGGAGGGGGCAGGTAGGGGTTCAACCAAGTAATGGGGTGGGGCAGAGGAATGAGATCGGGACTTGAATTCTAAAGTTTGGTGGTGGGAAAGGGTAGGATTAAATCTGAAATAAATTTCAGATTTAATGAGTAATTAGGGCGATGTTTAATTGAAATTTGAATTTAAAGTAATTGGGGAATTGGGAGGGAAAGTGGGGAGAGGATTATATTCATTAGATCCTTATTTTATGGGACCTAATTAATTAGAGAGAGGAGAGGGAAGGGGTCGGCCTAGGAGAGAGGAGAGAGGAGAGAGAGAGGGGTTAGGCATTCAGGAGGTGGGCCCAAGCAATTAAGGGGATTGAGTACTTAAATCTGAAATTAATTTCAGATTTATGTTAATTGGGGGTTTTCCTTAATTAAAGTAGGGGAATTTAAGGAGAGTTTTGAAATTCAAATATTTTGAATTTTAATTTGATTCTCTTCCTAAATTAGTGGGGCTAAATTAGGAAAACACTTATGGTGGGTTTGAATTCAAACGTTTGGAGGCAATTATGTGGCTGGTGGCTATGGTGGTGGAAAAGGATGTGGCCGGCGGCTTTAGGTGGTGGAACAAGGGGCCGGTGAGTGGAGGCTTCAAGCCGGCGGCCAAGGGCTTGGGCTAGGTAACTTAGATCCATGAATTGAGCACTTTCCTAATATGGATTATGTCAATTTAGGAAAGAATTCAAAATCTGAATTTGAAATCAGATTTTGAGTTGGATCTCCCTCCTAATCTTCATGCACCACTTTTGGAAAGAGGCAAGACAATCAATTTTGGATCCATGAGAGGGGAAGGCCGACGGTTAGGGTTTGGGTTTGGGTGGCGATTGGTTAAGAAGGGGTGTGGGTTAAGTGGAAGGGATCTTATTGAGGTTGACCGGCGGCTTGGGGACTTGAAGTGGCCGGCAGGTGTTTGTGGAAGAAGAGGTTTCCGAATGTAGGGGAAAGGAAGAGATGACAAGAAAGTACTACGAGTACTAACCACGTGTCCCAGAATCTACCGGCGGCTGACGAGTGATGCGTGGCCCTCTCCTAGGGTTTATCCTCTCAAAAACTCACAAAGAGATCAAGAACAAGAAAGCTGAAATTTATATTCATATTCATCATTAACCCAAAATATAAGAGAACTAGCCTATAAATAGGCCTCATGAAAAGAAAAGAAACAAAGGCTAAAATGCCCTTCGGGCTACAACACCACATGACCACCTCTAGGGGTAAATGGGAAAAACAGAAATACAAAATAAATTAGTACATAAAACACAAAAATAAACTCCAGATCATAGCCGTTGATCTTTGATGTCCTCATCATTAAGCCTCAACGATATTATCTTATTACCAAAGCTCCTAAGGCTCTTCTTTATTTTAACAATTCAATTTTAACTCTTGAAATTATATCCTCATCTACTTCTTCAATCTTTTGTAGAACTAATATACTTAAATCTATAATATCTAGGCATTATCTTGTCTTCTAATAATATTATATGATAGTTGTTAACATCATTCCTACCAAAATTTTATATTTATATTTATTTTTTGTTATACTAATTTTAAGGCCTATCTTATAAACATTTCTTCCCATGTTCTAATTTTTCATTTATTTGTAAACGTCTATTAATTAGAACTATATTATATTCTAAAAAGAAAACACCAAGGCATCTTGCTTTGGATATTCTTTATCAGCATCTCCATAATTAATATAAAAATATATTGAGTTAATGCTTATTCTTGATGTAAACTTACAATAATTGATAACGTTTTGGCCATTTTACATTTACTTTAATGCTAGTTTATGCTCTATCTTATATATTTTTTAATAATTAAATTATTTTTGACAAAGCTTTCTACCTTAAAGCATCCAAGTAAATTTCTGATGTACTTGATTTTATGTATTCTTATGATCAATAAAAGTCATATGAAGATTATTTCTTTGTTATTTATATTTCTTTATTAAATGTCTTAGCATAGAAATTGCTTCTAAAGTAGATCTTTCTAACATAAATCGAAATGATTTTTTGAAATATATATTTCATTACTTTTTAGGTTTGCTTTCATTTTATCACCTCATAAATGTGATTTTTATAATTAGCATAATTTTGATCATCACCTTGTTCTTAAATATTGCTAACAAAATGCTTATTATCCAATTATTTACAATTTTTTAGTGCTCAAAATTTTGTTGGACAGATTTGTTAATCAAAACACATCAATATCCCCCATAATTATCTAAACCTCAACATGTATCTTTTATGGACTTGAAGCCTTAATTTTATGCATATTTTTTTAAAGCTAAAGTTCTCTTAACTTTTTTGAGTCGATCTATAATATTCTTGTTTTTATTCTAATCCATTAAAAATAAAGGACTTTCATTCGTTGTTCCCATGAGTCCATGACCGACAAAAATGGTTGTTTTCGATAATGGAGAATCTATAATTACCCTGCAACTACTCTTCTCATCGTGCCTCTTTCAAGATTGTTAATTTTTTATCAAGTAGAAGTATTAAAAAATTTGATTTTTTTTAAAAGACATTGGATGTTCCTTTGCTGCTAGCTAACAAGTAATATCTGCTCTTAGTTTGACGTGGTTTTGCCACCAATCTACGAGCTTATAGCAGAAATTGAAAGAGAAGATATCAGAGGAGGGAAACTTCTAAACCTTTTGCATAAAAGATGCCATTGTGGAATACCTGAACTGCAATCATGCTTCCAAAGGTAGCCTGTTGCATCTTTGTTCTTTCTTATTTTTACTCTTTGCCGAGAAGGCATGATAAAATCCCTTTTTTCAGATTTTTTTCTTTCTATTTCCTGATGGATATTGTTAAAAGAGAGAAAATTTATGTTTATTATTGACTGAAAGTAGGTGCCCATATAATTGGCATATAAGACAAGTACCAAAGGAAGAAAATAATGAGATGAATACATCAATTAAGAGAATATAAATCTCGATAAAAATGTATCTTCTATGAAGAGTGCAAGTGAAAGAAATAATTTTTTCTTAGTTCACAAAGTATTTGATACATGACAATTTATAGATTGATCTAAGAATGAAATAAGAGAATATTTACAGCTATACCAATAAATAAAAAGCTAGTTTTGAATTTTCTTTTTTGGTATAAATTCATGGGATCTTAAATTTTTTTCCTTGTCATGAATTTGTGGGATTTTGATTTCTGGCATTATTTCTTGGGTTCCAATTATAAGATCTATAGTATAAGCATGCCTTCCAATACTTTTCTCAGGCTGATGAATAGATATCTTTTATTCACAATTTGTTAATAATCCCTTGAAACTATTTTGTTGAGTTCATTTGTAAAGACATGTGCCAATTGTTTTTTTGTAAATACTTAGAGTACGCAAATTAAACTAGTATCTATTTTTTCTTTTAAAAAATATTGATTAAAGGATCAAAATGGTCCCAACTATATTAAAATATTATTTTGGTCCTTCAAATTCTTAAGAGGAACCGAAATGGTTTCATGGTGGGATTATTTTAGTTTCTCTTTAAAGAATTGATAAACCAAAATAATTCTTTAATATACTTGATGGTCAATTGGCCATTTTAGGTTTTCATAAAGAGTCAAGGGATTATTTTGATTCTTTTCTCAAAAAATATTTATCTATCTGAGCATGCTTTGTTTTAATATGTTGCTTAGGATTGTTCAGGATATTCATTGTTGACTTACTATTACAATCTAGTCTCATAGCTTCATCCCTCTTGATCTGTAGATCTTTACGGAGAAATTCTAATTGTACCATTGCTTTCAATTTAGCTTATACAGTAGGCCTTGCCATTGCATTTTATATTTTGCATCTTCATGTGACAAGGGTTGCCTCTAGGAAAGGCGTTGTATATAAAGGTGGATGTATCATTTACATGTGAACCAACATAGTTAGCATCGTGCAGGCTTCAAACTCCAATTTTTTTGTTTCTTCTAAACAAAATTCCTCTTTTAGGATCCACTTTAAACAATGAAGAATTCAGTAGACAGCTTGTAGGTGAAAATTTCTTATATGATGCTTAAATTGACTTATCACGCTCGCAACATAAGCTATATCCGGCCTTTTATGTACAAGATAAATAAGTTTTATCACTAGCTTTTGGTTCATTTTCCTATCAATCAAAATCCTTTACTTCTCCTAAATTATGATTTGGGTCATTTGGTATATAAGCATTTTTATAGGCAATCTTTTATATTTCATTTTGTAGATCAGTGATATATTTTTATTGTGAAATAAAGATACTTGATGTGAGTTAGCAGCCACAATTATTTGGAAATACTTCAATTCCCCTAGTTTTATCTCAAATTCTATGATAAATTATTGCTTCAGAGACTCTTTTTCTTGCTGATCATTTTTTATTACAATTATATCATCAACATTCATCAAATAATGCTGCGAATCTCATTTTATTTCAGAACCTAATGAATAAAGTGTGATCTCCTAACTTTGCTTGTAACATGCAGCTATCATTATTTTTGCAAAATTTTTAAACTAAGCTCGTTGGGACTGTTTGAGATCATACATTACCTTTCTTAATTTGTAGACCTTGTTAAGTCCACAAGTCCATACGAAACACTAAGGTAAAGATACATGTAGATTTTCTCCTCGAAATCACCTGAAGCTATGCATGTTGAACATCAAACTTTTGTAAATCTTAGTAAATGTTGGCAGCTAGTGACAGTAATACTATTACTGTACTTATCTTTGCATTTGGAATGAATTTTTCTCAGTAATCTTCTCCATGGGTTTGAGTGTAGCTATATTAATCTTTCAACGGTCCCATCTATATTGTACTATAAAAATTCATTTGTACCCTGTGGGCTCCTAAAATTCACACCTCGGCCTCTCCGTAGTCCCTTCCTTTCTTCGGGTTGTCGAGGAGAGTTTTAATGTTTAAGTTCCGAGGCAAATTTTCAGATGGCAGATTGAGTTTTATATAAAACACTACCTAGAGATTTCGCCCTAATTTTGCGAGGACTTTATGATATGAGTTGATGCGGACAAAGGATATAAGGAGTCTATACCCTTCGCCCACAAAAGAGACACGACGAACTTCTAACGACGAAATTGAGGAGGAGAAAAGAGACGAGAACAATAGGGAAGAACAAACTCTTACATTTCAATTTTAAAACCAAATAAAAAAAACTGCGACGACGACTTACAAACAACACGACAGACACCCTAAAGTTGCTGCACTTTGAGAAGAAGGATACAGGTGGAGCGGCACTTGCGGAGAGACGAAGAGATTAGAAGCCCAGAAGAAAGGGTGGAAAGAGCCCGCAGGATTTCCGGAGGGGATGAGAAAAGAAGGTTGGAAAGAGCCCGCAGGATTTCCGAGCAACCCGCAGGTTAACAGATTTTCCAAAAATCAAATATCATTCACTATTTAAAACATTACATAACCCCTCATATTTATAGGTATGAAAGGGGAATACAAAAGGACACAAACATTAAATTAACACATAATTCAAAGCATTAAAAAGCATAGAAATCCCCCCCCAAGCTCTCGGTTTACACCCAAACTAGGAACCAAGGAGACAGCCACGGGAGACGAAGGGAACCGTACGGACCGAGAGCCACAGCCACGGGAAACGAGGGGCGGACACGGAACAAGGAGCCAGCCGTGAGATCCCAAGAGGTAAAACACAAAATTCAACTTCCCATGGTGGAATTCAAGGAGCCACACATGGGAAGACTAAACAACAATCTTGGATTCCCAAAAGCCATATTTTGGAAATCTAAGAGACAACTTTTAAGACATTAAAAACTATAATAAAAGTGCATTTAAATAAAGATAAATATGAACTAAAATTATTAGCTCATAATGAGCTAACCCTTGTTCAATAAATGAACTAAAGTTTAGCTTATAAATGAACTAAAAGTTTAGCTCAAATATGATGAACTACTAGACTCAAGGGAAGCCAAAATATGATTTATTTTGGACTAGTGTTGACCCCCCCTTTGTCTACATCAGAGTCCCCTTCTTGCGAATTCAGCTCCTGATGAATTATCTGTTGTTTCCCTTGAGGCGGTGCATACTGTTCATTGAGCTCCTTGAGTTTTTCTTCAAAGCTTTTCAGAATTTCCTCTTGCTCTTTTTCAAATTGCTGTTGCAGATACCTTTTGTATTTTTCAAACTTTTGATCACATAGGAACATGTGATATTGCAATTTGTAGAGACGATCTTGAAGTGGATCCGATGAGTCACCTTCTGTAGGAATCCACCTGGCCAACGGGAGTGGGACATTAGGATCATGTTGCTCGCTTTCCTCCATGAATGAAGCCATATTTTTAGTATTTTCCATTTTTTTGACAGACTAAAAAAAAGACTTAAAAATTAAAACCTAAACTTAGACTCACAATTCTTTTACGACTCAAGACTCACAAAACTATCGACAAGACTTGACTTGACAACTCAATCTGACAAAATCACAAACCTAGGACTTCCTAACTTGCTCTGATACCAAATTGATGCGGAAAAAGGATATAGGGAGCCTATACCCTTCGCCCACAAAAGAGACACGACAGACGTCTAACGACGAAATTGAGAAGGAGGAGAAAAGAGACGAGAACAATAGGGAAGAACAAACTCTTACATTTCAATTTTAAAACCAAATAAAAAAAACTACGACGATGACTTACAAACAACACGACAGACACCCTAAAGTTGCTGCACTTTGAGAAGAAGGATACAGGTGGAGCGGCACTTGCGGAGAGACGAATAGATTAGAAGCCCGAGAAGAAAGGGTGGAAAGAGCCCGCAGGATTTCCGAAGGGGATGAGAAAAGAAGGTTGGAAAGAGCCCGCAGGATTTCCGAGCAACCCGCAGGTTAATAGATTTTCTAAAAATCAAATATCATTCACTATTTAAAACATTACATAACCCCTCATATTTATAGGTATGAAAGGGGAATACAAAAGGACACAAACATTAAATTAACACATAATTCAAAGCATTAAAAAGCATAGAAATCTCCCCCAAAGCTCTCGGTTTACACCCAAACCAGGAACCAAGGAGACAACCACGGGAGACGAAGGGAACCGCACGGACCGAGAACCACAGCCACAGGAAACGAGGGGCGGACACGGAACAAGGAGCCAGCCGTGAGATCCCAAGGGGCATTCACAAAAAACTAAAAAGCAATGGTGGAATTTCAAGGAGCCACATATGGGAAGACTAAACAACAATCTTGGATTCCCAAAAGCCATATTTTGGAAATCCAAGAGACAACTTTTAAGACATTAAAAACTATAATAAAAGTGCATTTAAATAAAGATAAATATGAACTAAAATTGTTAGCTCATAATGAGCTAATCCTTAGTTCAATAAATGAACTAAAGTTCAGCCCATAAATGAACTAAAAGTTTAGCTCAAATATGATGAACTACTAGACTCAAGGGAAGCCAAAATATGATTTATTTTGGACTAGTGGTCACCCCTCCTTTGTCTACATCATGAGTTTAGGTTTCCTATATGTGCAAGCCCCTATAATTAGTTATCACTCCCGATAGCGAGAGAGAACTTTCGATTAAGGTTAGTCGTCAAACACATACATGGTATCCGACGTATAGTAGCAACATAATATGTCATTTAAAAATTTAATATTTAGAATTAGAAATTCACCACCTTGCACTTAAAGCGGATGATGAGCGAATGATGATAGATCCGTTCAAAATCTAATGTTCCGTCATCCCAGGCCATCATGATCCCTGGTCTACTTAGTCAGAGGAGGTAGTCAACCCAAACCTGAAAGAAGGATTCTTGTTGGCAGTCATGTGCTGTTTTGTCCAAGGGTACCTTGTAGACCTGGGGAGAATATTTGTCTTAGGGGATAAATTTGAATACTCCTTAGCTAACATAGAACTTTATGCCCATTATATATATATATGCTTTGTCAATTGCATTGTTTGGGGATGGCTTGGACATTTTATACACTAAACTCTAGGAAATTAAGTTTTTTATCTATTAAATTGTAAGTAATTTTAAAATCGACCATGGGATAATATTTTCAAATTAAATTGAATGGCTTATTCAGAAATAAGCTAACTCTTTCAAAAAAAAAAAAGAATGCAATGCCTCCTAATAGATTTTAGTATGCATATCAGTGTATTATTTATCCATAAGGGTGTGCTCATTAAATCAACATTAAACTCTTGTACTTAGCAGATGAATATTATATGCATAACTTTGTGAGTTGCATGTAGAAATAAGAGTTCTCACATTAAGGGCTAGATAAAAAAATTGTATTATGAGTCAACATGTACATATTCTCACGGTCATACACCTTCACATAAGTCCGCTTTTCTAAAATCAAAATAGTCTGACCTATTTTGCATGTGCATTGATACCAAGACTTCATGGTTTTAAAAGTGCTTAGTTAGGTTAAGTTGGTCATCATTTTCAGGCAAGATTGTAAGAGCAGAGGTTGCGTTGACTTAAATGTTAAGTGAGGTTTTAAGTTCATAATTCTCATGCATACTGGCAGATTTGGGTTCAAGTCATTGTATGCCTTCATCTTCCTGGCCTTAATTCCATGTTGTTGGAATACAAGCTCCAACTTTTTAAATCAAATTGATCAACTTTAGCTTAAATTTAATTTCAAAATTTAAAGCTCAACATATGATAGTTTTGAATTTCTCAAATCAAGTCTCCTATATTTTCTTCGTAGGTTTTCATTCAAAAGTTTATTTTAAACTTTTAAGTTGATCCAATTATTCAATTATTCTCAAAATTTAAGAGATCAAATTCTGGGCACGGGTTTTTAAAAATAACATGAAATATAAGCCAATATTTTGATAAATAAATGTAAACCATTATTTTTATTAAAAGTTTCGCAAGGGACAGATTATTGAGATGTAATTAAGTAAGCATAGGGGTTTGCCTTATATGAAACCTATACCTCAAAAAAAAAAAAAAAAAAAAAAACCCTATTCAATTAAATATTGTATAGGTGAAACTCTATGAGTAGATAAATTAAAATGGAAGTTTTGTTATTGAGTCCATAGTAAAATAATAATTTTATTTCGTAGGATATTTTATTATTTTATGCAGTACTCAATCATAAAATATTTCAAATCTATTGATGATTGAAAAATTCCCCATAAAATAGCCAGTGATGAAGGCAGCAACTTCCCACAATGGTTCTTTAGGTGGTTGCGGGTGATGAAAGCAGTGGTTTGGTGGATTTTCTTGCTGTAGCTATGGTGGTAAGGCTTTTTGCTGGGAAGTGAAAGCAACTGATGGTGACCACAATATGTAAGCTGATGGATCTTCTTGTAGGGATTTTTCTTGCAGCAATAGTAGGTGAGGCAATGACTCTTCTCTATGTGAACAATGATGAAGAAATCAGGTGGGCAGAGTCTTCTTTTGTTGTAGAATTAGGTTCTGCTTGTTGGACATCAAAAGTAATAATTGGTTCTTGAAAGAGAACCCCAAAAATATGTCCAAGAATTTTTCTTAGGGCTCTGATACTATGAAAAGAGAAGAGATGATTTAAATTTTGTTCTATATTTCGTTAAGGACTTTAGATCCTTATTTATACAAACATGATTTGACGTTACGCTAGGTAATTTCTTCTTTTGGAAGCAACTAATTACATTGTATAATTTTTCAAAATTACTGAGACATAATATACAATTATTAATCAAATGTCTATACATGCACCTATGGGAACAAGGCAATACTACTGCTTGCATGTGATGCTTGAAGGCAGTACTTTAATAGCTCTATATGGCCAACAATCTGTGGGATCCCACCATTGGATTGCCATGCTGGACTTTCCAACATTTTATTTATTTATTTATTAATATATATATATATATATATAAACTAATTTATCTTTGCCAAAAATAAAATTTGATTTACACAACCTTTTATATTTAATACATATTAGTAACTGCTCATCTATTTTTAAAAATTCATCAATTTTAATCAGCTCGATATAAACATCACGATTAAATTGAGAATTATTCATAAATCTTTTTATTAATTATTAAAATTAGTATTAATGCTTCTTTAAGCCAATAATAATTTTTTTTGAATCTTTACACCCATTTAGGAAAATGGGGGTGAGAATCCCAATTAATGGAAAATCTCTTATTCTTCTTGGTTTGCTGCTAATGTTTACTTGTTTTGACTTTTTTGTATTATGACTTTCCAAAATTTGGGTTTCTTTTTCCTAATCCTTTTGCTATTTGTGCTTTGAATTAAATCACTTTCCAGAAATTTCTCTTCCTTTATCTATTTTTATTTTTATTATTTATTAATATTGGCTGATCATAAAAAAAAATATCACTCATTAAAATTGCTTATTACACTCATTCTTAATGAAAAGCCCTTTATCTTTTAAGCATGTTCTCCATTTTAACTCTCTGCACAATATAATTCATTGTTAAATATATGGTTGTTACTAGTTTAGTATGTTTCCTAATCTTGTGTTTAGTGAAAGAGTGACATAATATGTTGTGCAAATTTTTTTTTTTTTTGACTGTGTTGCTTGTTATATCTCAAGCTTCTTAACTGAGACGGGAAAGCCGCACTTATGCTTTCTATCGATGTAGTTTTTTTTTGGTTTATGCTTCTAACATAGCATTTCATCTTTTATTGGCTCATGTCTATTTTTTATATGCATCCTTTCATAGTAGAAACGTACAGATATTCTAATCCTGCATCATTTAGGCTCCTCTGGCATGGGCATCAAGTCTTGTATAACCAACTAGCATCTTGGATGGTTTATGGAATTCTTCAAGATCCACATGGGGAGTTTTTCATTCAAAGGTATCTATTGTTTTAGATTTTTTTAAAACAATTTCCGTATGCATCTCTGCAGTTAATTTGGTATCGGAAGTTACATTATAGTGATAAATTTATGCTCTATCATTTAGAGAAATTAGCTAGTGAAGCATCTATAGTTTGGTTTTATATTGCAACATTGCAGTGTTGGCCCACAAGCCAGATCTATGTTGTCGCATTCAGTACCTGATTACAGGCGTTTGTTGTGAAGCATGATGTTGCTCGATTGGTAGGAATAGTCATTGGCAATTTATTAAGGATACGAAAGGAAAGAAGAAAAATGTAGATGTATATTCTGAAGCTTACTTTTTTTTTCCTGAGTTCTATTTTCTAGCAGCCTACAATGGATGGTGCAACTTCATATGCTTTATGCTATGGTTCCATATTACTAGTAACCGTTATAGTTGTCTTCATGATTGTAGTTTTAGTTACACTGCCACTTTGTGCTGTTGTGTGGTGCTATCAGAGTGAATCGGCTGTTACAAAAGATGCATCATTTTAGTTTTGCTAAAAAGTGTATTCGCTGTTCTTTTTAATTGTTTTACTTTTTTCTCTACTGAATATATGCCATCTGAATTCAATGTAATATTGAGCATATTTCCACAATAATTTTCCTTCTTCATAGTTGCTCAACTTAGCTTAACTTCTATGCGATTTTGAAGCTAGGTAATAACCAGATACAATAAATTTTTTTTTTCTTCTAAGTGCCGCAGAACATATTTAAGACCCTGTTTTAGAATGTTTTTAAGCTGCTTTTATTTTAAAAAATCTTGCATATCACAATGTTGATTTGTCCTGAAGATATATGATGGAAAACATATACTACACTAGCACCTTCATTGCTTCAATTCTTTAAGTAGCACATTTGCTTAGTAAGTTCATCATTATGAGAGTTGTGCTGATTATATTCCCCACAAAACAATAGAATAACAGCGCCGCCATGACCAAAAAGCCTAAGTTGCCACAACTAGATTTAGGTCACAAGGAGCGTGAGAGGAATACACAACTTGGTGCAATAAATTTATAGAATTTGAATCTAGAGAACATTCAGTTGGCCTCATAAATCATTTGCATTCATTCAGCAAATTTGTAATAATTTAAATACAAAGCATGGTCCCTACCTATAGAAATATGGTTACAAGATAATCTCAAATATTTGAAAGCAACTATGTTCCTATCCAATCCTAACAAACGTGCAAATTTAAATTTAATCTTATTAAAAAAATCTTAAAAAATAAATCATATAAAAAACAAGCTTATATGGCCATAAATGGAAACACGCCTAAGTAGGCTTGAAAATGGGCCAAATTCTATTTTTTAATTTTCTAGTTTTAGATATTTTGGGTGTATTGTTCAAAGTGATGGTGAAATAGATGGGGATATTATTAGTGGCATTCAAGTTGGATGGTTGAATTGGAGAAATGCATCGGGCTTGTTATGTGATTGAAAAATCTCTCTCAAACTTGAGGGGAAATTCTATAAGGTAGTGGTGAGACTTGCCATGCTTTATAGTGCATAATGTTGGCCATTAAAATAAAGCATAAAATTAATTTAAGTGTTGTAGAGATGATGATGCTCAGGTGGATGAGTGACTTTGCACTTATAGATAGAATTTGAAATGAGTATATACGTGAAAAAGTTGAAGTAGCTCCAGCGGTATATAAGATTAGAGAGAGTTTCCTTAAATGGTTTGGTCACATAAAATGTCGGCTTTTTGATGACGTGGTTAGGATGTATTAGAAATGGACTTTTCTTATTAGATTTAAATGAGAATTCAACTCTTAGATAGGACAAATAGGAGAAAAAAGAATCATGTAGCCGGCCAAGTAGTGGGATAATGATTTGATGTTGTTGTTGTCGTAGTTTGGCCTATGACCAATGGAGCTTTTATGAAATGATTTGGCCTGATTAGTGGCTTATACTGTGTCAACTCCCTTGCAGTGCAAAGAGCTATTCTTCAGAGATTTAATGTCCTTGTAGTTATCCTAAAGATTGGAGGCTAGCTTTTATGATTCATTCTTGGTCATCTTGGTCATCATGTTATAATATGTAGGAGGTCTGCCTTTCTAATTGATGAACATAACTAGGAACTTATGTTCATCAATTTTTTGCAATTATCACTTCATTTAAAATGACACTTTCAACATTTAAGCCATAGCTCTTGCACTGCAACTTAGTGGCTTTTATGACTTGAAAATTGCATGTTGATTCTTCCATAGGCAGGTGGTATTGAAATGAGGAGATACATAGAAACGACAACTATAGTAGAAATTCCTCCTATGGAAGAATCAACATGCAATTTTCAACGTTCAAACTTTCCTCACTGAGTTAATGTATTTGGATATCATCAATATATGAAAATATATTTACTAAACATATAAAGAGGAAAATCTAAAGCATATGCAGTAAAATTGCTTTTCCTACTAATTTTGAAAAGATCATAGGCCCTTGCTTGCAATTTTTATGCATGGTTTGTAGAAAGCATTCTAGATGTATACAAATTATAGCAAAGTCACCTTAATTACACTCATAAGTGCTTCTCTTAACATTTACACCATCAAAATATTTCTTATTGTGTAATTAAATTTGCTTTCTAACATTGTCATGTAAATCATTTATATGTTGGACAAATGATACAATGAAATTCGAATATGCATGCTATGATGAAGGGACGAGATCTGTGCTCTTTCTAGGGTTTAGGTCTTGAACAATATATAAAATGCTATTTTATTCAATTTTAGCAGCAAGTTGTAGATCCAAATTACTTTAGCTTTGTTTAATTGAAGTTTTTAATATATCTTGTAAGTTTCTATTAACAACCTTGTGGGCTACGAAAATTCGGCCCCGACCTCCCCGCCGTTTTTTTTTATTCGGCGAGGGAGTTTTAACGAACTAAGTTCCGGGGTAAATTTTGGAAGGCAGATGAGTTTGTAGATAAGACACTACCCAGAGATTTCGGCCTCATTTTGCGAGGACTTTATGATCAGAGTTCTGGTTTCTTATAGGCGCAAGCCTCTATAGTTATTTACCCCTCCCAATAACGAGAGAGAACTTTCGATTATGGCTAGTCATCAATCAAATACGTTGTATCCATAGATACGTAGTATCAGGCGTATAGTAGTAGCATCGATTTGGATTTGAAAATTGGGTATTTGAAAAGGTTTGATATTCAATAGGAAATTGCACCATCTTGCACTTAAAGCGGATGGTGGGGGAATGGATAATGGACCCGATCAAGATCCCATGGTTCCGTTGTCCCGGGCCATCGTGGTCCCTGGTCTACTTAGTCAGAGGAGGTAGTCGACCCAACCTGACAGAAGGATCCTTGTCGGCATCTATGGGTTGCTTCGTCCAAGGGGACCTTATAGACCTGGGTTGAATGTTTGTCTAAGGGGACAAATTTGAATCCACCTTAGCTGACAGAGGGCTTTGTGCCCTATCGATCATATCCTATTGATTCATATCTCAAGGATTTGATGCCACTAAGGAGCGTATTGGCTCTGGCCATAATCGGTATTTCGTGGTGCCATTTGGCGGCAAAACCACTCGGTTCAGAGGGCCCCGGGTCGTCATAACCGTTTATCCTGCGGTGCCATTTGGTGGCAGACCGCTTGTTAGAAGACACGTACCACGTCCTTATTGGCAGGAGATTGTTTGAGAATGGATCCTAGTGATATTTTCGACTAGGCATTTGGCTCTTTGTGAGTAGGAGTAAATTTTAATTTGTCCACCTTGATAAACTGTTGCGGAGGGTGGATAGATTTTGCTTTTAGGGATAATTTCAATTTTAAATATTTGAGATTTTGAGATTTGTGGAGTTTGGATTTTGAATGGACTTTTGGAAGACATTTGAAAGTATTCGTGAACCCCTCCGGTTGAGATTAGCATTCAACACGGCCATCATCGGGGTGTTTGGGTCATTTTCCTTTATTGATTGAACCCTGTCAACTTGACCAAGCTGTTGCTCGAGGATCGGGTTTCTCGCAGGCTTTATGCATTTGTTTATGACTTTTCTTAATTATAGGCCTTGTAGGCCTAATATGAATGTATTTAAACAAATATACCGGTCACTGCAACCGTGTATTTTGTTTGAAGTTCGAACCCTGTCGACTCCTATTGATCCGTATAGAAGGATCGGGTTCCGTAGGCTTTGTGCCTTTATTAATGAATTTTCTTTGTTAAAGGCCTTAAAGACCTAATATGAATGTATTTAAACAAATACACCGGTCGCTACAACCGTGTATTTTGTTTGAAGGTTCGAACCCTGTCGACTTCTATTGACCCGTATAGAATGATCGGGTTCGAACTTGAATTCACTTATCGACCCGCGCAGCATCCCTAGACGTCACGTGTGTTCCTACAACACGCTCGCCGGGGCCCATACAGGTCGAGATTATACTTTCCCCTTTAGTGTACTTATGTGTATACAATTTTTGGTGCACGTGTAGGGGTTCTTTGAAATGATTGTAGTTGTGTATATAACTTTCGTTTGGATGCACACAACTTTTCATTTAGGAGCTTATACACGCCTTCTGTCCGCTAGTACGAGTGTTGCAGATCCGGTGGCGGTGGATTGTAGATTGTAGACGCCTTATGTCTGCTTGCATAAGTATTGCAGATCAGGTGGCGAGGAGTTATAATTTGTGGACGCCTTCTGTGTGCTCGTATGAGTGTTGCAGATCCGTTGGTGTGCGTCTTGATGTTGACTCCCCCTTTCTCATTCATCTGCAAGGGACTTCTAGACTTTGAAATCAGTTATTGCTGCCTTGAAAAGAGCTCTTTTCAGGATCTTCAGTGTAGTAGACTTGTTATTTCCGATGTTTGTGGGCACCAGAACTGTTTTCTTCCTAAGGGTGGGACTAGGGAGAAACTTTGGAACACCAGAAAGTTTTGTTCTAATTTGTTCAAACATCTCTTCCATTCCTCCAGTAGGTGTCCTTTTTTTGCACGTCGAGTTGCCCTTGTACTCGATGTACTTGAAGATC